TTTTTTCCCTAGAAAGTCCAGAGATAACCTGATTATAGATGGCTGTATAAAACTCCTGGCCAGGACTAATGTCAAGACTTGACAGAGCTTCAGCTCATAAAATTGTTGTAGTTCCCTTTACTTTATTAGAGCTTTACTTTATTATCAGTTTGCACCAAATGTGGAACTTATGTAATTCTTTTCTTATTATATTTATTTATTTATTTCTCTATTTCTTGTTTATTTCTTGCAGTATATTTTATGTGTTCAAATAAGTAGAAGGTTAACAGACAAGCTAAAAAAATAATGCTGTTCTCTGGCCTGCCATTGAAAAATCCCATTAAGACTATAATTGGTTTCATAATACATATTTTCTCATCTTAATTCCATTTTCCAAGAGTCTGTAATGGAAAAGAACTTTCCTGAATGAGGAAATAGGCTTGAGATAGTGGTGTGATAAGAAGAAAGAGCATCCAGGTACCCCAATGGAAAATTCCTTCTGTTCTACTTCTGAAGCTACAGAGAGAAACTCAGTAAAAAGTAATTGTCTTTCTCATTCTAAAGAGTATATATCATCTGCAGAAATTACTTCCATTTTTTTCCCTAACCCATGAAGTTCTTTTGCTTGTTTATCTACAGAAACGTTTTACATTTTACATGCCCCACCAAGAGAATCAAAATATTTCACACCACACAGAGGGGTAGGGGTTTTTGGGGGAGCGACAGTCTGCAGCGTTCAGGTCCCCCCCACCCCTGACAAACAGGAATAGTTTGTCCGAAGTTCTTGGAAGGTCATGAAGAAATAGGCTTCTTATCCTAGACCTTCAAACAAGAAATTGCTTGATGAGGAGTGGGCGTTTGATCAGCTTCAAAAGGATTTAGAGAAAGGACTTCCACTTCAAGAGAGCTGGTTAGTGTCCAGTCTAGGTTGTTAAGACTGTGTGTTCACCAAGTGACATGCTGCAAGTGCATAGGAAGCGTTTAAAATATTCGTAGCACAAAAGATTGCTCCTCGATAGAACCATTTTGTTCCATCTAGAGCAATGAGGAAGCTTCTCTGCTTGGCCGCAGGCAACAATACAGTGTTTGGATAGCAAAATAAACCTGCCAGAGAATCAAATACTTTGTTTTGCTATCCTTAGCGTGGTTAATTTTGTGTTGGCTCATTGCTGACTAAAATGGTCTTCTACACCAAAACTTAATTTAGTTGGGAGCCAGAATAACAGTTATTTCAGATAAGCATCTCTTGTCAAGACTGAGTTTGGGGTTTCATTGCTGTTCCAGGGGCAATAACAGAAAACCATGCGGCTTGTTAGATGTTGTGGCAGGTCATATTGAAATCTTCAAAGGCAAAGAAGCAATTGGCAGTTGTCGCTTTATGTCTCGGGGATTTTCTCATACTTATGTCACTTTGCTAGTGTTTAGTTGGATAACCAACACCGTTTTTACTGTGAATGTGTCTGTGTGAATGTTTGAATTGACTTGTGTCAGTTTAGCATGTTCCACTTAATTTTGCAAGGTAATATTTTCAGTTAAGTTTTTCTACTGTCTAGTAGACAATTTCCAATTCTTCAGCCTCTCCTTGTGAAATGATATGTTGTTTTTGCAGTACGCTAGCTTGTATCTTGTTTAAGCTTAATGAAGCCTGCAAAGTACTTCTACCAATTTTCTAATGTAGTATTATTCCCGTAAGACTCTATATAGTCCTTCTATAGATGCAGTTACTGGACAGTGATTTAGATGAGTTCTTGTCAAAATATAAAATGAGTGATGAAATCCACAAACTTTTTTTGACTCTGTTTTCTTCTTCAGTTTGATCAGTGGCAGCTACCGTGCTAAAAAGTAGATGGTGACATAGCAGGCAGCTGATATCACCACACCTTAAAGCTGCATTTTAATTTTCCTTATGGGTCTGTCTCCCAGTTTAGCAGCAGAATTTTTATCTTCATTACACAGAAAAAAAAATAAGTGTATTTTTAAAGTTTCATTTACATATTCTTGAGGAAAGCAGAATCAAAGAAAAAGTGTTTAGGAATTACTGAAGCATCTGATTAATTGCAGGCCTTTTTCTCACTTACTTGCACGTTAATCTTGAATTGCTACTTCGCTCTTTCTGGTGACTGAAAGCTCTCCATTATTCAGGGGACATTTCCAGCTGTCTGTGTTGGTAACGGCAAATGACACTCATAGGTCTCTGCTAAGAAGCTGCCTAAATGGGAAAGCAAACGGCGCAGCAGCACCATGACAGGGCCAGAACATCCTTTGGGGCTGTCTAATCCATCACTTGACTGTGAGAGGAATACAATATCTTCCCAAATTTGTTTCCAGCAAAATGAATTTGTGTGTAAAATCCCAGTGGGAGAAATTTTGTTGTAACTCACAACACTGGTAGAACTCGACATTACCGTTACTGCTGATTTACCCTGTTGTAAATAGGATGGGAATATGACTTAGTGTCTTGGTAGAGCAGAGCCTAACATTATCTGTATTTTCTGCAGCCAAAGATTAAATGGTGATCATCTAAAAGAAGTTCCCTCCCTCTTTCCCCAGTAATCTAATTTATATTATACTAACTGTGGTTTTTTTCTATCTAGCTATCCTGCAACAGGCACAGAATTATAAATATATAACATGTGCCCAAGTCTTTATAAGCTTCACTTTGTAGAAGGAGGAGCTAGGTTTGTCTCTTTTTCTTTTAGTTAGTGCTTTTCCATACTCTCAAAACTTACATCGATATGATTTGAATGAGTCAACTGTCTTTGCCTGAGCCACATACATACACAGAAAGAGAGCAAGAAGTCTGAAGGTACAAAAAAAGGGGGAGGGGGTGGAAATAACCCCCCACACCCCCAATATGGGGCAGCTGCTATACGACAGCGTTCGTGGTTCCCCATCAGTTTGTGCCCTGTTGTAATTGTTGGGGCAGAGTGAGAAGCTGCATTGCAAACTGTGCTGAGTCAGAGAGCTGTGAATCATTCCTGCCGCTTGAGTCTGTTTAACGTGCTGCAGGCAGAATTGGATTAAGCCAGGCAGGGTGCAGTTGCTGTAGTTGCTGCACGCTAAGGGCTCTCCTCTCTCTTCCTGGCATTTGTAACATTTGTCCCGCACAAAGTCAGAGACAAAACATTACTTTTTTAGTCCAGCCTGGAGTCCAACATTGCCCTGGTGGGAGTTGCTGGGGAAGGGCCAGAAGGCTGCGGTGCAGCTGAGGGCTCCCATTTTGGAAAATGTTGCAAGGTGGCCCTGCAGCTGCTTGGGCATCCGCTGATTACGAGCACAACAGCTCAACCCTTGGGACCACGCATCCTTGCAGAGATGGGCTTAGGAAGTGCCCTGCAGACACCTGACAGGTCCTCTGCAGTGTGCCTGGGGTGGGTGAAGCTCTGCACCTGCTGGGGCACAGACGAGGGGTCATGAAGTTGAGTCCCAATTTCTTGGGCACTTTCCCTCTCCTTTTCTGGGCTGTCCCACACTGTGCCTGGCACAAGGATGGAGGGATGAAGGCAGCGGGGAGTCACCCTGCCAGGCAAGGAACAACTCCTGGCATTGCTAGGCGCACTGGGGAGAGACCCTGATGGGGAAACCAGACCTGGCTCCTGAGGATTTGCTTGAGGCAGGAAACCTCTGTGACTGTTGAGCTGCCTCAGCGTGGTCTAGAGTGGGAAGGTCTAAGGAAGACCCCTGGGAAGGCTGTGGCAGAGGCACGCCCTAAGTAAATGAGTAATTCCTGACAAATCTTCCCAAGGTTAGACATGGGTTTTGGTCTTGACCACTGACAGTGCCAAGTGTTTTGGTCCTTATTTTGTTAGAAAGCATTTGAGCAGGGGGCTGGCCAAATTATGCAGCTGACACTTTGTGTTCCTCCGTTCCTCCCTGAAGTGTCTTGGAGGTTGTGTCCAGACAGCACGAAGTCTGGATATCCATGCAGCCTGCCCCCCGCTCTTAGAAAGGAATAGAGAGTTGTTGCTATTGGTGCTATAATGGTAATGAAAGCTCATTTGCCTTTACTGGTCTGCCATTCTTCAGAGGTCTTGTATTTCTTCCCCATGACTTCTGAGTAGAAAACCCAGTGGTTGGTCTCTCCTTACCCTTGCCAACATTTCCTTCTCAGTGCCCATTACTACCTGATCCGAACTCTGTCTACTGCAGATAGAAAGACTCCTGTTGTCTGCAGCGTGGGGAACAGTATAAGTTTAAAATCATGAACTGTGGACTCTGTGGTCAGGTTTCCTAGACATTTCTGAAGACTGGTTGGTCTCTTGACTTTATTCTGTATGGTAAGTATTGCTGTTTCTGCTTGCTGTTTGTTCAGTGCACATAAGCAAGAAATGGAAGTTTCTAAGACAGTCCTCAGAATGGGGTGTGGAGACATCGAGCTTTTACTTTCTCATCTGCTTGAGGAGAAAACGGAACAGCAGTTGATGTACCCAGAACTGAAGCTGTTGTCCTGCTATTAGTGGAGAGACAGTATTCACAGGAATACTGTGAATATAGCAGGACAGAATTGCAATCCTAGAACAAGTCAATTTCAGTAAAACATGGACATTGCGGTGGGCAAAGTTGATGTTCCAAGTCTTATTGATAAAGGAAGGGGAAAACATGCACTGATTATTTATGAAAATATTTTAAAATATGTAAATACAGGTGCACAGCATAGAAACATTTTGGACTGCTTGGATTGCAGTGTTGGTATGATTGATTTTCATAAGGCCAATGAGAACAATTTGCTCAATGCCCAGTTTCCATTGCGTCTGTGTAAGAGCTCAGGTCTTAAGGATTGTTGCGTTAACCACCATCCCCCTTTACTTCATGTAACCAAAGCTTCTGAAATTGCAATGAGACCACTGGCTGGTAAAGACTGGACAATATTCCAATTCAGTCATTCCACACATGAATAAATCCTGTTAGCTTGAAAAAAATCATTGAGTCAGCTCCCAGAAGGAACTTCTCAAAGTATTTTGTATGCTACAGTTTGTTTGGCAGCAAGTAAAACTTTTGGCTTCACAAGCTAATCTTCGTAGATGCCGTCTCCTTTCCGTCACAGAAAAGGCTCGCCAGGTACATTCCGGTTGATACAGGTGGCATCTGTGGTGGGACAGAGGGAACAAGAATGAATGCCAGGGACGTGCAGGTAAGAGGGCAATTGTGTGAACATGTGTAATTTTAATTACCAGGGATTACCAGGGTGATTACTTTTTACTGCATTCTTTATGGTGCCCAGCAACAATACACATTGTCATTGTGTTTATGAACTCCTGATTATAAATGCAGCAAATGTGTACGGAGATAAAGGGAAAAGATCAAGTCTTCAAATGAAGAAAAGTCTCTTTATACTAGTTAAAGCCTGACCTATGTTTACCTAGCTAAATCTATACTTAAAAGCAGTGTATTTCTTTGTGATTATTTTGTTACATATATACCAGTAAATTATTGAAAAATATAGTGTTAAATATAATTCTTTATCCTTATTATCAGCAGCATAAATTCATTATTTAGACCTGCTTCCAGTGAAATCAACTGAAATTTTGTTTCTGATTTCACTGAGACCGGGATTGAAACAATCCATATTGATGTGGGAAATGAAGGTAGCCAAATTTTTGAATGTGATTGAACATGTGTAATAAAACATAATACTGTCATTCATCTTCATAGGCACGATAAAAAAAATAGTTTTCATACAGCCTACAAGTAATACAAATGAATTAAAGTCATTTAATTGCAAGATATTTTAAAAGTCATGATGATAACTTAAAAATAACTGCTCTGCCAAATTTTAATAAGATAATGACAGCTTCATTAGCTTTAAAAATGTGCATAATTTACAGGAATGTTGTATTAGCATTGAGGTGACATTTTCTATTTTATTCGGATTAAAATTGTGTAAATAGGCCTTTTGAAATGCTCACATTGTATATGTGAGCTATTAATTAACTATTCGGGAATTAATTCTTCAGCTTCTCATGAGAGTTATGCTTATTCACACAAGAAGTCCCATCGACTAATGGCATTTCTCAGGCATAATCAGATGACAATGGGACACGTATAAGAATTACTCATGTGAAAAATATCAACTCCATCATTCTTTGTTAAAATATGTGCTGATAATGGTTCTTTTCATGCAACTAGCTATTTCAGTGTTCAGTGCTGTATAGCAGACAGAGGGAAATTCTTTCGTGATCTCTGTGGATGATCAGTTTCTTCCCTGACACCTGACAGGAATTAAACAAAATGCTGTAGAGACAGCACGAAGGGGGTGGTGGTGGTAGGGGAAGGGCACAGTTATTTTTTACCTAGATAAATCAACATAATCCTTTTAAAAGCATGCATCAGGTATATTTCTGAGTCCAGACTAGTAAAAGCCTTCTCCTACCTTATAGCCACCATGTTTTTTTAAGGCATATGATCTTGGGGAAGTGGATAATTTTAAGGAAAATATCAGTGTAACTACTGAGACTCGCTCTGCTCTTTCAGTGCCATGCAACACCACAGATAGGCGCATCTTCTCACATACAGCCTTGCCCATTAAGGTAGAGTTTCATTTTTGGGGTTCTTTGGAGACACCCCTTGATATTTTTCTTGGGAGTATAGGACTGTTTACAATAATTTTTAAGATCTCAACCAGATTAGATAATACGTGCAAGGTTTTACACTTGGATCAGGGCAATCCTCAGTATCATTACAGAATGGGCGATGAGGGCAGCCCTGCAGAGGCAGACTTGGGGATGCTGGTGGATGAAAAATTGGACATGAGACGGCGATATGCACTTGCAGTCCAGAAAGCCAATTGTACCCTGAGCTGCATAAAAGGAAGTGTGGCCAGCAGTTCAAGGGAGGTGAGTCTCCCCCTCTACTCCTTTCTCGTGAGACCCCGCGTGGAGTACTGCATCCAGTTCTGGGGTCCCCAGCACAAGAAAGACACGGACATGTTAGATCGGGTCCAGAGGAGGGCCATGACGATGATCAGAGGTCTTGAACACCTCTCCTATGAAGAAAGGCTGAGAGATTTGGGGTTGTTTAGCCTGGAGAAGAGAAGGCCCTTGGGTAGACCTTATTGTGGCTTTTCAACATACAAAGGGGGCTTATAAATAAGAAAGATGGAGAAAGACTTTTTACCAGGGCCTTTAATGACAGGACAAGGGGCAACGGTTTTAAACTGGAAGATAGATTTGGTTTGGATATAATAAACAAATTTTTTTTTATGATGAGGGTGGTGAGACACTGGAACAGGTTGCCCAGAGAAGTTGTGGACGCCCCATCATTGGAAGTGTTCAAGGTCAGGTCAGATGGGGCTTTGAACAACCTAATATAGTGAAAGATGTCCCTGCCGCCCCGCTGCCCCCCCCCCCCCCCCCGCCCAGTGTTCCTGCCCTGAGTCCCTGGGCACCCATTGTTCCCAGTGTCCCTCCCAAGTCCCAGCATCCCCTCCTGCTCCCTGTCCCCCTCCTGATCCCAGTCTGTCATCTTTACCCCCCCCCCCCCCCCCCCCCCCAATCCAGCTTAAAGTACTAAAAGCAATAGAACTCTTAATAAGAGTGAATTATGAGGAAACTCTCTCTAAGACAATGGGCTGCATGTATAGGGCTTCTGGGTGAATATCCAGAACCGGCTGAATCAAACACCACTGCACTGCCCCTCCCACGCTAGCAGAGTTCCTGGTGAAACATTCCCAGTGAAACCAGAGGATGTTGTCAGATACACCAGAGGCTGACTCCATAGGCACTTAGCAGAAGGATCACTCCCCCCAACTCCCCCAGGCAGTGGAAAGATTGTAGTTTACTTAAGTAGTTTAGGGATTTCACCCTCCACTTTTATTCAAGTATTGTTCTTACAAAATTGTCTTAAACAGTTAATGTTGGGGTTTTTTTGTCCTTGCAGAGGAGAGGGGAATGTAGCAAATATGCCCATGCTGAAGTGAAGAAAATTAATTCAGTGATGAGGACAAAACATGATTAAGAATATGAAACTTTAATATTAATTTTTTTTGTTTGGTTTCTGGTAATAACATCCTTTCTGAATGGTGTGTGTTTGTATGCACCTTTTTGGCCTCAACTCAGGACAACAGTGGAAACTCAAGAGTAGACGTCTATCTAAATGGTTGGCCTAAAATTCAGCTTTATGGTGTAAGTGCTGTCATGATATTAGTTCTGGAAAAATACAGGTCATCAATACCTGAGATAACCAAGCAATTGGCCAATTTAGGAATTTGTAACCTATTTTCATTGCAGAACCCTAAAAACATCTAGTTTGCTTGCAGAGTTCTGTGTAGCAAGTTTTAGTCTCTTGACAAATATGCTTGCTTTCTGTAAGCAAAGTCTTTCATGGCACTCCAGAATCAATCCATGGACATCGAAGAGTCTGTGGGCCAGAGACTGAAAAATGCTGGTTTAACTGATGCATTACACCAGTTAATTTCAGTACAACTTGTATTCCTAAATCATGGGGCAACATTTTGATAAACTTATTGATGACCTAAATATGGATACAAAGCCCTAGCTTTTATTACATATTTCTAGTGTTTTCTAGTTCTTCTAGCCATGCTTTCTTGCAACTGTGGCTCTTTGAACCTCTCTTCATCATGTGTAGCATCCTACTTGTGTCATTGTTTTCTATGACTCATTAAAAGATACATATATTTGAAATTAAAATTCTCTTAAGCATTTAAAAATCATCATCCAGTAGTATATTGAAAAGAATTCCTTGGGATTTACAAGAAGCACTCGTTAAAATATATCAGCTACTCATCCTATAATTTATAAACAGATAATCCTCGTCAACAAGAGAGATGGAAATGTTTCCTAAAGCAATCTTGTTGCCTTTGTAATAGATCAGATTTGTGCAGTATGGCACATAATTCAAAAGAATATTTGAAGAGTAAAGCCATAGATCCTCTTAAAGGACTGTTTCTTCTCCATAAGTCTGGATTGAAGACTATTATCTCCTATCCTACTATACTGATATCCAGAATACATTAAAATATTTTTTTAATTCTTTTTTAAGAGCAGCTTGCTGACTGATCCTATTTGCTTAGTCTTCATAGTTGATCATGAAAAAAATTGGTTTGTTTTTATTATTTGCTTTTTGTCAAAAAGACTTATTTCTTAGTACTCCCCAGCCTTTCCTTTTGTTTGCAACAAGCTTTAAAAAATAAGTAAAGTATCGGCAGCTCTTATGATCTCTGACTGCTGGATCCAGAAGCTCATATCAAGAGATTTAAAAAGTAGTATTCAGAAACTAAAATGTTCTAGCATAATTGTGTAGCCTTCTTTGTGTATTCAGCTGCTTAAATAGCACAATCTTTCATTCACCATAAAAAAATAATCAACACTTGGGTTGAGTTATTCCATTGAAGGGCAGTAACAATGTTAATTAATTGGAAGTTTATTTATATTCACAGTCTTGATGTGATGTTTGAAAGAAGCCAGCACTTTTTCAGCAGCCGAAGTCAGACGACTTTCAGAGAATTCCTAAGGAGTTAATGCATTTTTTTTAAAACACAGTTTTGACAATTATCCCTTCGAGCAGGAAAAGAGGGGTGGTTGTAATAAAATGAGAATGGCATTGTGGGTCTATGTGAAGAAATATCAAAGTCATAACATAGAGCCTTGTAAGGAGGCCAAAACTTTTTATTAATACGTAATTTTTTTTAGAACAGGATGGAATATCTCTGACGAGAGATGGAATCGCTTTTGTCACCTAAATTAATTTGTCCCAGTGTCTTGTAAATCATTTCATGCCACAAATAATTGATCAAAGACTGAAGCAGAAATGAACAACTCAGGCTGTGATTTAAAGGGAATTAATTCTTAATTAAGTTGGCTTTGGATTTTCATCTTTAGGGAGAATAGGCCGCTAAGCATTCACAATACCATCACTTAGTTTAATATTAGGAAAAGCCTTCATAAGAGATTAAGGCACTCTTCACATTAAGGAGATCAGAATGAAGTACCTGAATTTAAGACTGAGAACCAGAACTTGCATCAGTATACGGGGGTCTGGTGCCATCTACTAAGTGAGCTTCAGATTATCCCAAGAAGTGAGGCGAAATGGCAAGTTCAGAATCCTGTGTTTGCAAAGGAAGCAGGCAGTTAATCCAGAAGTCTTTGCATGATGATCTTCCCTCAGGTGTATTTCTCTGATACGGCTTCTATCAAGAATTTCCAGTAAGAATAATACAGTCCCTTCTTTATCATCTAATTGTAGTATCTTATGGGTGCTTATGTACAAGAATACTGAATCTTATTTCTGAATATTTCTAGAACTGTAGATATTGTTTCAAAAGTTCTGCTTCCTTACATCTTGTGGTCCTTCTCTTCTATGTTAATTGTTATGTATACTGTCTTTCTCCTGTGTTATTTGTTTGCAAATGGATATGTGTTTTCACATTGCTTTAACAGAGTTTGGAAACTACATTAGTCTAGCTAATTAGTATGAGAGGAATCCTCATTATTTATTTCTAGGGACTAAATCATTAATAATAGTCATTCTGTATAAATGAAGTGGGCGCTGAAAAAATATATTTAGGTAGTAAACATGCATTCAGAAAACTATTTGTGTCATGCAAGTCAAAATATTTTGTCTGAGTTACTTAGATTGTGACAGACCATTATGAAGAAGCTATTTTAAGGTTTTTCAGAGACCTAAATGTTGAGATGGCTTCCAAATAGGTTCTTCAAAAATGTGTAGGTGTTGAACTTCCACTGTTTGGAGGTCTGGCTCTTAATTTCTCATTGGTACAAAAATTGAGTTTTGCTTGCATTTTATTAAAAGCAAATAAACTTACAAGTTGAGATGATTGTAAGCTAAAAGCAATGTTTTCAATTTTAATAATGTGGGGTTCTTTTTCCTGAAAAGCAATTTAAAGATTTTGGGTTCACCAGTGCTTACTCTTCATAAATGAAAAGGATATAATAGTAAATTGTCAAGGAGCACTGTGTTTTAGAATGCTGAACTGTAGGCTGTTCTCTTTTGTCATTCTGAAGACATGGGACAAATTTGTTAGTGATTTTAAAAGTGCCTTAGGCACTGATTAGAAACAGCTTAAAATGGGGTAGAAAGAGAAAGGGAGATGTTGCATGTTACGGCAACACTTCTCATTGGATTCCTGCATCCGTGCCATCGATGCATTTGAAGTCCTTTGCAGGATTCTTTCTTTTAAAAGATTTGGGATAGAACTACGAGATGTAAGATACATTGCACAGAAAATGGCATTAAACAAGTAGATGGGAAACACAAATGTAGAAATGTCGGTGGAGAGACCAGGTGTGAATACGTTGCAACACACATCTTAGTGACAACTCACGGGTACTTCAGCATGAAAATGCATTTGCTAGGAAATAATGGTAAGGAAGACAAAACTGATTGCATGGCTAGGGATGTAGAAGGCATCCTTGATAATAGTAACATTTCAAATTCATTCAAAGTAGGTAATACAGGAAGGTAAATTGCTGGATAGCAGCAGCTCAGTTTCAGTGGAAAGAATTTACAATGTAATTAATTTCAAAGGATAATAAATCTGACGTGAATCTCCCCTTTTATAAGGCCTAACTTCTGGGGTTTGTGTGAATTCTTACAGTATATTGTATAATCTTTTCTACTGCATGAGCTGTGACTTAGAAGCCACCAGAAACCAGAGCAAAAGTACACAGAGAACTAGCTTGGCAGGTGTGTGCAAAGGTAGCAAACAATGTTTATTTGGGGTATGCAGATGTTCCCCGTTTGGGACATTTGTGTTTGGCTCACTCAGATTGAGCCAACGTGATTTTTCTGTAATACTAACATTTTACTTAGGTTTAAGCAGAAGTGTGCCAGTGCACCTTTATTTAAGTGGTGTGAG